ATCAGATATGTGTGACAGACACACTCTTCCCTTGCTTTATTAGGACAGAAAAGCTACTATCAGATATGTGTGACAGACACACTCTTCCCTTGCTTTATTAGGACAGAAAAGCTACTATCAGACATGTGTGGCAGACACACTCTTCCCCTGCTTTATTAGGATAGAGAATGTACTATCAGATATGTGTGACAGACACACTCTTCCCTTGCTTTATTAGGACAGAAAAGCTACTATCAGACATGTGTGACAGACACACTCTTCCCCTGCTTTATTAGGACAGAGAAGCTACTATCAGACATGTGTGGCAGACACACTCTTCCCTTGCTTTATTAGGATAGAGAATGTACTATCAGACATGTGTGACAGACACACTCTTCCCTTGCTTTATTAGGACAGAGAATGTACTATCAGGCATGTGTAAGATACACACTTTTCTCTTGCTTTATTGTAACAGAGAGAAGATAAAACAAGTGATGAAGAGATCAGTCATCCGAGAAACATATCTCGTCGACGAAGTAGTTACATTCCACCTCCTCTCGTCAATCCCCACATGTTCGTCAACCCGACCACACCGAAGGTTTGTTGTGTTACGTTTATACTTATCGAGTTTCTCGTATTTCACCAAGAGGTTTGAAATGGAAGTAGGAGATTAAGGTGTGGGGTGTAGATACCAAAAGATTAGTTTAGAAAGTAAAAATATACGAGAGATTGGCGTTAAGGTATGTCGCTAGAAGTTTGAGAGTATTATTGAATAGGGTGGGAAAACTCGGCTATGGATTGGGGGAGTTAAGGATTAGATTAGAGAGTAAGATTATGGGAATGGAACGTTAAAAAATTAGGTTATCTAGAAAAAGGGAAAGGTGAAGATATTAAGTATGTGTTTATTAATTAGGAGAGGTTCTTAATGAGATTATTTGGTGTAACAGATAACAAATAGGGATTGGATGGTTAGGATATAAAGTATGGATTATACAGGGATTATATGATTAATAAAAAGAGTTAAAAATTTGAAGTAAGGATTACATGGTTAAGAGAGGAGTTAAATATTTAAAGAGTGGGATATTCAAGGATTACATCGTTAAGCCAGGAGTTAGTCATGGAAAGTTATAATTATACAAGGATTACATCGTTAAGCCAGGAGTTAGTCATGGAAAGTTATAATTATACAAGGATTAGATGGTTAAGACATAAGTTCGAGATTTAAAGTGAGAATTATAAAAGGATTACCTCGTTAAGATGGAAGTTAAAGATTTAAAGTGTGGGTTATTTAGGGATCACATAGTTAAGATAGAAGTTAAAGATTTAAAGTGTGGGTTATTTAGGGATCACATAGTTAAGATAGAAGTTAAAGATTTGAAGTGTGGGTTATTTAAGGATCACATAGTTAATACAGGGGTCAGATTTAAAGAATGGGTTATTTAAGGATCACATAGTTAATACAGGGGTCAGATTTAAAGAATGGGTTATACAATTACATGGTTAAGAAAGGTTATATAAGGTTATCTGGTTAAGACGAGCCTAGAGATTTAAAGTGAGGATTATAAAAATTATTGCATCGTTAAGACAGAAGTTAGAGATTTAATGCAAGTAAAAGATTATTACAAAGCTCGACAAGTTAGAAAGTACAATTGCTTGTTTAAAGTTGTTGTTGTTGGTTTTCTTACAGTCTCCACCCGAACACACGCATGGAACCAGAAAAATGTCTTCTGCCTCTTTGAAATCAACAACTTCTGTAGAACTTTTCCATATCACACCTCACTCGATGACCAGTGGACGGTCGAGCTCTTTTGAAGTTATGGAGGGTGATGAACCACCAATCACAGACAGTCGCGGCCCACAGCCCAAAATTCCGGAGACTTACTTTGATAAATACAAACGCAAGCCATTAGTAACAATAGGCACATATCGGTCACATAATCGTTTTCTCTCTCAAGAAAAGCCATCAAACGTGGAAGATACACGAAAGGAGAGTGAGTTTACGACAGTGGAGGAACAGAAGGATGAACAACAACGCCTGAGTTATAGTCCTGTCTTTAGAGATGAGAGATCTGACACCTCAACAAGACCAGACCCTGTAGCTGATATCTTAGCTTCGCCACTAACTAGTGATAAAAGCACACGTGACCACGAATTGCTTTTACCAACACCAGAGACCAAAAAACCAGAAACTGAACGAGGGAAACTGTTATCAACTTCAACGTCGCCAAACACCGCCATCACAGCTAACACACGAGAACAAAATCTTGAAAACAAACCATCACAGTCAACGCCGGCGTCGAACCTAGTTGGTTCAGTGCTGCCCTCTATGTTACCAATTCAAACTAAACCGATCTCGGTTAGGGAGAAAAAGACCTACTCAAACATTCCTGTTTCCTCACTTGAAGCTAAAGCTAGAAAATTTCAATTATCTCCAACACAATCGCAAAATGATGAAAGGAACAAATTACCACCATTTTCATCTTCGATTCACGTACCTTCATCACTTGGGGTTTATCAGAAACAAGCACCTAATAAGCCTAACCTGGTACGCCATTTCAACAAATCACTTTCTTCTACATTTTCTCAAAGTCAGGCTTCTAATCCGATACCAAAGTCGCCAGCAGGGAAGATTCCTCACAGCACCCTTACAGCTCGTCAAAGGTAAGATAAAGCACGTGTATTGACCCCGAGGTTTACTGTACGTCACCATGTTAACTGTGAAGTCCTGTTCTATATTTACTACCTTAAATACTGTTCAGAGTTCTCTTTTAGCTTATTTAAAGTCCTAGAGCTTCAAATCTCTGTGTTCCAGAGAGATACTGTTATATTACATTTGGCGCTGGGGGGTGGCCTAGACTAGCGTACCAGTCTGTGATTCTCAGAGTTCGTGGTTCGCGTCCCGTTGCTAAAAAATAGCGCCCGCCCCTTGAGACCGTAGGAGCTTTATAAAAATTAATGGTAAATCCTACTCTTCGGTCAGTGTAGCCCAAGAGTTAGTGGTGGATGCTGTTGATTAGCTTCCTTCTCTTTAGTCTATCAGCTCAAAGTTAAGGACGATTAGCGCAAGATTAGCTTTGAGCAAATGTCTGAAACAAATAAATGTCCTAAATAGTCGTTTTCTTAGTTATTATTTACAGGAAAACTTGATTCTATGACGGGTTTCGTGTTCACGATATGTGATCTAAACGCTCGACTGCCAAGCCTAATTCTATTTCTGAGAGAATATCAAGCTGTGTTGAAATAATTCTTCTATAGACGATGTGGTTTACGGAAATATTTGATTCTTTTCGTTTATGAATAAATTTTACATAATTGAGTTCATTTCACTGAAAGTCTTAAATCATTCCACATCGAGTTTCCTGTGATCAACCGGATTTTTTTACGATTAGTCTTGAATCGCCTATAAAGAATGTTCTGTGTTCAACCAGAATTTCTTACGTTCATTCTCCCCTAGTTCTATAATGAGTTTTCTGTGATCAACCAGACTTTCTGACGTTTAGTCATAAATAATTCCATAATGATTTTCCTTATTTCAACCAGAGTTTCTTACTTTCAGTCTTGAATCGTTCTGTAGAGAGTTCGTTTTTCGTTTTAGTGATAGTCATGAACTGTGTGAAATATAACTAGTCTTAATGTGAGGTAACATACACATACATATTTACTTCCGAGCCCTGAACTGGATGTACACACGTCGTAATATTAGTTCTGGTGTGTTTAAGTTTCCTTGATTTAGGAATAAGTCAAAGGGTGCTTTTTCTGTGTTCCAGCGGAAGTTATTTTTAACAAGTTACTTTTACAAGTCAGTTCTAGATTCCTGAAACATCTGTAAGTTCTCGAATCTCCATCGTTTACAATAATAATAATAAAAAAAAATCATTGTAGAAACGCATTAAAGCTACGTTCGTGTCTTATTACCGAAAATTATTCAATTCCAATGTATATAACTATTTTTTTTTGCCCCCACTGACTCAGCGGTATGTATGAAGGTTAATACCATTAACAATTGGGTTTCAATACTCGTGGTGGGCACAGAAAATATAGCCCATTGTGTACCTTTCTACTTGATGACAAACAAACAGTTTTTGTTTGTCATTACATATTGCTGTAAACCCTTTTCAAGATCTTTTTACGTATTTAATAATTTGTTTGAAGTTAAGCACAAAGCTGCACAATGGGCTATCTGTGCTCTGCCCACCACGGGTATCGAAAACCCGGTTTCTAGCGTTGTAAGTCCGCAGACATACCTCTGTGCCACTGGGGGTCACGTAATAATTATTAACTTTAAAACTCATGTTATATAACTAAATTCTTAAGCCTAGCACAAATTAGCAAGACATACAGTTGATCCTATCGACAATCACTTCTTGAAGGAGAAACACCTGAAGGCATAGTTGAATTTGCTACTATTGTTGCTTTGATTCTATTCATATTAATCTACAATTATTTATACTTAAATGCACGTTTTTTCCCCCTTATTTTAGTAAGAATTTTATCGAGAAACAACCGATTCCTTGGGGGAAAAGTGGGACGTCGTCAGTTCAGAAGAAAACAAGTCCACAATTGTCCGTGAGTAAAAAAACTCTTTAAATAGCTTGAAATGTTTATTTTTTAAATTGAAAATATTGTTAACACTTTGTTTTAGTTACACATTTATTAACTAGATGTTAGCTGAAAGTATAATTCTGACAATAGGCGTACATATTCTATTTTAGTTGCTTGCGAGATGTCGCTGGCAGTTTACTTAGCATTTCAAATCACGTACTTTTGTAATTAAAAATTATGTCATTTTTATATACGTATTATTTATTAAGTTTAAAGTTACTTTATAATAAAACTTAAAGAGTAGTTAGAAGTTACATTAACAATCTAAGTTGTTTAAATTAGGCCAAGTTAAAAAAACTAACATGTTTAACTTCCGGAGTTTTCGAAAAAAAGGAAGGAGGAGGTCCGTTGTTTTTTCAAAATGAACTCTTTTAAAGAAAGTTTGCACACTTTTTTCACATGATTGTTGCTTGTTTTCAAAGGATCCATGTCAGACAAAAATCTTCTTTGTTTCTTTTTTCATCAAAATAACAGAATTTATGACAAAGAAAAAGATCAAAATGAATCAACTGTGTTCATCTTATTGTTTATTCACAAGTCTTTGCTTTTTTTGTATGTTCGAAAAACGATAATTCAGTAATAGGAAAAAAAAAATTGCCCAAAAGTGGGGGAAGGTGGCTGCAAAAAACGAAGCAGGTGGGGACGCTAAACACACACGTACATATATGTACATCGAGTTTGTTGGTTTTTGTTATTTTTCTGTTTTAACTCGTACAATTTTCTCTATCGCTAGTTCAGCGAGGCAGAAACTGGTGGCAAAGAAGTTAAAACATTGGTTCTAAAAAAGGTGAGAGCAACTACTTGGTCTCTGTTTCATTTCTGTTAAACGTATATGATCAGTTGATTTTCTATATTTAGCTATCTTCCTCTGCTATTACCAAACGGCCTGCTAATGTGAGAATAAGATTATTGACAAAGTGCAGACTTTCTGTAGTTAATGTTTAAATAAGATTATTGACAAAGTGCAGACTTTCTGTAG